ATGAGAATACTGAGTGTGAGTGCCACCAGTCCCACTCATCCATAGCATTGAGCAATATCCTTTCAAGTCATTTTCTCATCTGAAAAAAGATGGTGACAACTCAAATTTTGCTTAGTTTGAACTTTACAATGAAGCTTAAACAGGGTAACAGTTGAGCTCTATAAAATGTAAAGAGATTGTTTATATATACACACACACACACTTTGCTTCAGGTACATTTGGCCCTAGTTTATCGCGGTTAATCAGTTCCAGACTCTACCGCAATAAATGAATTTCCACGAAGTAGGATTCTTTATTCATAGTCATTCCTCGCCACTTTGCACTTCGACTTTCGCGGCCATGAAAGTCGAAGCGCGAAGTGGCAAGGGACAACTGTGTCACGTTCATGTGGGAAGGGGAAAAAACTATGGCAACTTTCATAAAGAAGCAAGTTCCTTGGGACACAATTCTTGTTAAGAGGACTTTGCAGTCCAGATCAATAGATTGGGTATGATGCTCCCACTGTTATCAAGCTTTCTAAATGTAGATACAAACCAAGAGCTAATAGCCTTTTAATAAGAGGACAGGATGATGGTACCTTTTTCCCTTCTTTCTGGTAAGGTAGACTAGAAAGCAGATAGCTAGTAAAACAGTCAGTCATATATAACTATTATATTAACAAAGCTTTAAATATCAACTCTAGATCATCTCAGGCATTTACCCAGTAAAACAGATTGCCCAGCCCGACCAGTGTGGCTCAGTGGTTGAGCATCAAACCATGCACCAACAGGTCACTGGTTCAATTATTGGTCGGGGCACATGTCCAGGAAGTGGGCCAAATCCCCAGTGGAGTGTATGCAGGAGATGGCCAATCAATGTTTTCTCTCATTGATGTTTCTTCCTCTCTCTCCCTCTCCCTTCCTCTCCTCTCAGTCTGAAAAATCAACAGAAAAAGAATTAAAAAACAACAAAACAAATTGCCCATAAATTGCTCAGAGGAGCCCACAATGGGCTGGCTGGCTAAAGGAAAACCAAACTAACTGCTCTCTTCCACCATCCCATCCCCTAAAGCAGCTCCTACACTTTTAACCTGTATTAAAGGCACTGCTGAGGAAGCACATCTTTGAAGGTTAAAGCATAACATCTGCACTTCAGGCCTGCCCCACCAATCTCTAAATGTGTGTTACTTTAGATAAATCATAACAAGCATCAAAGTCATTCCTCATCCATTATTGGGATACCAAAACCTATTCTATCCTAGCATTATCCAGTAAAATACCACTTTTGCTGATACTTTTTAAAGGTTTTTTATTGATTTTTAGAGAGAGAGGACAGGAGAGGGAGAGAAACATCAATGTGGTAGTGAAACACTAATCAGCTGTCTCCTGCACGCCCCCTACTGGGGATGGAGCTTGCAACCTGGGCATGTGTCCTGACTGGGAATCAGACTGGCAACCATTCGGTACATAGACCACCACCCAAACCAATGAGCCACAGGGGCCAGAACTTGGCTGATACTTTTAAACATAAACTGTTCAACATAGCATTGAAGTGCCTATCTTCCCCTCTGTCCACCAGCCCCCCAATCTGGCCTTCATACATATAGTCATTCCAAAACTGGAAATACTGCCGTCCCTTTATCTGCCTTACCATTTCCCTACATACAATCATTTGCTTATGCCTTCCCTCCAACTGCAATGGCTTTCCCAAGTCTTCCCTCCATATTGATTTATCCAAAAATCCACTCAGCACCCACTTAATCCAGCCACTGATCACCTCTAGCATTTTCTTTAAGCTATTTTTATGACTCTCATCTGTCTTGTTTTCACAATTATCCCTAAACCTACAGCACATTTTATTTTAAACTCCCCATAGCTGCCAGCAGTGTTTTCTTATAGCACACAATAAAAATCTGTCAAATGGGCTGGTTTGGCTCACCAGTTAGAGCATTAGCCTGTGGACCAGAGAGTCCTGGGTTTGGTTCCTACTAAGGGCACGTACCTCGGTTGCAGTTTGTCCCTGCCCTGGTTGGGGTTGTGTGGGTGGCAACCAGTCAATGTGTCTCTTTCATATCAATGTTTCTCTCTCTCTCTTCCTCCCTCTCTCCCTCCCGCTCTATCTGAAGATAAATGCAAAAATGTCCTCAGATAAGGATTAAAAAAAAAATCTGTCAAATGAACACAAAAACATATAGCTTATCATTCAGGAAAGCTATACTTATTAATCACTGGCTTAGAAGCATAACTGACATGTTATACACATTAATTTATTATGCAAAGTTAGAACTGAAAAATACCTTCTAAGTTGAATGAGTAATATTTCAAGATCCATCCTAGAATAATGATGTATCCCTGCTGTCATGGAGGTTAGAGTGGGGGAAAAGCAAAGTCTTGTAATAACATTATAACCAAACTAAGCCCTGCAGTGGATGTACAAAGCTCAATATCACTTAGCCAGAAAGCTGTCTGTCAAACTCCAACTAATATCTAAATTATCAATCAGAACATGCAAAAGAAAACTATGTCTAACATGTATGTTAGGGAATACATATTGCATTCATTTATATTTTTCTTTATTGATTTTAGAGAGAGAGGAAGGGAGAGGGAGAGAGAGACAGAAACATCGATGAGAGAGAACATTGGCCGCCTCCTGCATGCCCCTGGCTGGGGACTTGGCCCACAACCCAGGCATGTGCCCTGACCAGGAATCGAACCAGTGACCTCCTGGTGCATGAGTCAATGCTCAACCACTGAGCCACACTGGCAGGGCACCTCTTTATGTTTTAAAATTGTGCTAATGGTCCATTTCACCTGCAACAAAAAAAAGAAACAAAAACCACACACAAAAAAAAATATTCACAGCACAATTTCCTGAGATGTTAACAAGGCGAGGTTTAACATAACCTGACTCACACTCACACATTCTCTCCTTTGTAGCCTGAGAGATACTTTTTGTCATGCTGATGTATCCGCATGAAAGGTTGTCAGGTCGAAAACCGAAATTTGTTTTGTGAACAACTTGGTGGAGAACCAAATTGTTCGGGATGGTAGACATTTGAAAACTGAGATTTAACTGTACTCAAACTAGGACAAATTCTGTTCCAAAACAACCTCCCAACCCCCTGAAGGATTGCCTACGCTGGTACTAAATGGAGCCATACAGAAACAGGCTCCCACTGGAGAGGCAAAAATAAAAGAGACAGAAAATAACAAATGTTAGCAAAGATGTGGAATATGCTGAACTCTCATATACCACTGGTAGGAGTGTAAATTAGTACAATTTTGGACAATTGGCTGTAACTAGCAAAATGCAATAGATACTGTAATGGGCTGAATGGTGTCCCCCAATTCATATGTTCAAGTCCCAACCTTTAATACCTCAGAATGTGACTATTTGGAAATAGGGTCTTTAAAGGAGATTAAGATTAAATGAGGTCATGAAGGTAGGCCCTAATCAATATGACTAATATCCTTATAAGAAAAAGAAATAAGAACACATAGACATGTGGAGAAGAAAAACCATATAAAAACACCAGTAGAAGATGGCTACCTGCAAGCAAAGGAAAGAAGCTTCTAAAGAAACCAAGTGTGCTGACTGACACCTTGATCTTGAACTGCTAGTCTCCAGAATTATGAAAAAATAAATTTTCATTGTTTAAGCTACCCAGTCTGTGGAATTTGTTAAAGCAGCCCTAGGGCCCAGCCAATGTAGCTCAGTGGTTGAGCATCACCCCATGCACCAAGAGGTCGCTGGTTCAATTCCCGGTCAAGGCACATACCCAGGTTGTGGGCCAAATTCCCAGTGGGGGGCATGCAGTAGGCAGCTAATCAATGTTCTCTCTCATCGATGTTTCTATCTCTCTCTAAAACCAATAAAAAAAAAATGTTTTAATGTAAAATGCTTTCAGTTACAGTTTACATTCAGTATTATTCTACATTAGTTTCAAATGTACCACAATAATTTTTAAAGGATTCCCAAACTGAGCTGGATAACTCCAGGAAAGCTGTGGTAAGAAGCAAGGCATCTGTACTTGAAAGAGTAGGGGAAAATAGAGACGCTCCCTTCACTGTATCTGGCGGCAGTCACACAAGTGCATTTGAGAGCCAAGCAAGGTTACAGAATTCCTAACACTGCCCAGGTGCAGAGGCTTCCCTTAATATGCTTCCTCAGATTTGTTCTGTACTGACATAAAGCAGTCCTAGGCAACCAGGAAATGAACAGAATCAGTCAGACTAATCTCCACAGCAGTGATGACATCACAAAAACAGCCACAGGCAAGGCTTGAGGTCCCCTGCATTAAGTACTGCATCTTCAGACATATGAACACGGTCAATACTGTATGTCACCACTGGACCCAACACCCAAGCTCTCTTCCTTCCCTAAAAAGATATTTTGCAGGTAGCTGTTCTTAAATTTGATTTTGAAATCACAGCCTGGAATGCTAAAATTGAAACTAGTCAGAAACACCACTAAAAAGCCTGTTCTGATTTCACCCACCACATCACTTTTACCACAATCACCATTAAGAAGTTTTAAAACAAAATATTAACCGAGTGTGTAGTTGCCTGAAGGGCACTGTGCTTGAAGATCAGGACAAAGAGGCCATTATCAGAAAAGCTAAGTTTGCTACATAGTAAGGATCAAAAGGTCTGATCCTGATTATAGAATCTTGGGTTGTCTCCCAACTTGTCCTTCTAGACCAGCAGTTCTAAACCTGTGGGTCACGACCCCTTTGGGGGTCGTACGACCCTTTCACAGGGATCGCCTAAGATCATCAGAAAACACATATTTCAGATGGTCTTAGGAACCAAGACACCACTCCTCTATCCATCTCAAGGCGGGTCCACCCACATGCAGATATGTCCACATTACAACATGAGGAACTGTATCAAAGGATCGCGGCATTAGGAAGGTTGAGAACCATCCCAAAAAATCTATAACATTCCATCTGGGAAACTACTAGGAGTTCTTAGAAGAGCAAGAAGGAAAAGGATTATTGGTTGAAATAAAAAGAGGGCTGAATGAGTTCCAGAAAGCAGGGTTCTCAAACTCGTGGACAACAATCTGCAGAAGACAACTTCAAAAAACCAACTAGAAGCAACATGCAAAGAAGTAAGATGAGAGGGGCTTCTTCAGGAAAGAAAACAGCTGGTCCACAGAAGAATCTGGAACCAGCCCTCCCGGGCAGATGTGGAGGTTGCTCAGCACAGGATCCCCCTTCTGGATCCATGAAAAAGACAAGAAAGAACAAGCAGAAGTCTCCTGGAAACTGAGATGGTAGCAGTACCTGCGAAGTCCCTCAGCCACTTGGGAAGAAAAGGGCCCAGGCTGATCCCACTGTTGAAAGCAAGGATACATTAAAGAATAGAATGGATCCAGTCAAGATGGCTGCGTAGGTAACCGCAGTATCGCGTCCTCCCACAACCACATCAAAGTTAGAACTAAACTACAGAACAACTGTCATTCAAAGCCACCTGAAATCAAGCTGAATAGAAGTCCTACAACTACAAAATTAAAGAAGCAGCCGCGCCCTGGCCGGTTTGGCTCAGCGGTTAGAGCATCGGCCTGCGGTCCCGAGAGACCAGGGTTCGGTTCCCGCTTAGGGCATGTACCTCGGTTGCAGTTTGTCCCCGGCCCTGGTTGGGTTGTGTGGGTGGCAACCACTCGATGTGTCCCTTTCACATCGATGTTTCTCTCTCTCTCTCTCTCCCTCCCACTCTATCTGAACAAAATATCCAAAAAAAAAATGTCCTCGGGTGAGGATAAAAAAAGAAAGAAAGAAGCAGCCGCGTCGAGACTGCCCTCCAGACTGTCTAGCAGGGCACTGTCACTTGCTGCACAGAAGGGTTCTGCTTTGACCTATCCTGATACTTGCAGACAGGCACGGTGAGCCAGCGAGCGGCAGAAACAGAGAGCAGCCCACTCCCTCAGACCATATACTCCCCCAGACCCTATTTCTGCTCTCCTTACAGTGCTTGGTCCACACTGGAGCCGTCCAGATGCCCTGACAGTGGTGAACCCCGTTTCCTGGGACTCACTTTCATCACTGTCCACTGACACACTCGGAAATAGTGTCTGTAAACAGGCAAGGAAACCCAAGCCATTCTGTTCTGCTCACCTTTTCCTGGAAAGCCTCCATCTAATGGTGACAATACTGTCCTTTCCTTACAGTCAGGTTTGTGCTTACAGTTATGAAACAAAATTTTAACCTCAAAAAAAAAAAAGGAAGAGAATGGTGCCCTGGCTGGTTTGGCTCAGCAGTTGGAGCATTGGCCCAAAGACCAATGAGTCGAGGGTTTGATTCCGGTCAAGGGCACGTACCTCGGTTGCAGTTTGTCCCCAGCCTGGTCAGGGTTGTGCGGGAGGCAGCTAGTCAATATGTCTCTCTCACGTTGATGTTTCTCTCTTTCCCTCTCTCTCCCCTTCCTTCCCACTCTATCTGAAGATAAACAGAAAAATAAAATCCTCAGTGAGGATTTAAAAAATAAGAATAGAATGGAAGTTAAAGTGAAGATTCCTAAAGAATTAAAACCATGGCTTGTTGAGGACTGGGACTTAGTTACCATGCAGAAGCAGCTGTTTCAAATGCCTGCTAAGAAAAATGTAGATGCCATTCTAGAAGACTATGCAAGTTGCAAGAAATTGCAGGGAAATGTCAACAATAAGGAATATGCAGTGAATGAAGTTGTCCCAGGAATAAAAGAATACTTCAACGTGATGTTGGGCACTCAGCTGCTCTACAAATTTGAGAGGCCCCAGTATGCTGAAATCTTCTTGGCTCACCCTGATGTGCCCATGTCCCAGGTTTATGGAGTGCCACACCTACTGAGATTATTTGTAAGAATCGGAGCAATGCTGGCATATACTCTCCTTGATAAGAAGAGCTCTGCATTACTGTTGGGCTATCTGCATGATTTTCTAAAATATATGGCAAAGAATGCTGCATCTCTGTTTACTTCCAGTGATTACAAAGTGGCTTTGGCTGAGTGCCACAGCAAAACCCTGTGAGCATCTACTGACCACTCACTGTTATGTCTGGTATCTGTAAACACTTTGTTCTTAGTCTTTTTCTTGTATAATTGATATTTATTTATTTAATTGATTTTTTGAGAGAGAGAAAGGCAAAGGGAGAGAGATACAAACATCGATGAGAGAAAACATTGATTGGCCACCTCCTTCATGCTGCTCACAGGGGATCTGGCTCACAACCTGGGCATGTGCCCTGACCGGAAATTGAACCAGTGACCTCTTAGTTCATGGGTCAACGCTCAACCACTGAGCCACACTGGCCGGGTGAGAAGTCAATATTTTAAGAACTGTATTTCAGATCTTAAATTTTAAAAAATAGTTTTAAAACAGTCTGGCCAGTGTGGCTCAGTTGATTGAGCGTCGTCCTATGGACTGAGAGGTCCTGGTTCGATTCCCAGTCAGGGCACATGCCTGGGTTTCGGGCTCAATCCCCAGTAGGAGGAGTGCTGGAGGCAGCCAATCAATGTTCTCTGTCATCGATTTTTCTCTTTCCCTCTTCCTTTATCTCTAAAATCAATAAAGGAAAAAAAAAAACATTAACTAAGCCTTAAAGTTAGCCAACACCATACTGGATTACTATGGATTCACTTGCATAGATGAGCAACAACAACTCTGTCCAAAGCCTCAAATTCTACTGCCAAGCCATTCCATAATAGAATGCTTAGACATGATTACTCACCATTTTTTAATTCCTTCAACGCAGGAACAATGCCTGTCTCTCTGAGTTAATATCCAGCAATGCCTGATACATGGTAGATACTCAAAACATCTGATGAATAAATGAAAATGTGCTTATCATTATTACTCTCCTCTAAACTTATACATTACTTGAGCCTACTTTAAATGTATTAGAATGGGTAGCAAGGTTAAAAAAAATAATTAGAGCCCTGGCTGGTTTGGCTCAGCAATTAGAGTGTTGGCACATGGACCAATGAGACCCGGATTCAATTCCTGCCAAGGGCATGTACCTCAGTTGCAGTTCATCCCTGGCCCTGATTGGGGTTGCATGAGAGGCAACCAGTCGATGTTTCTCTCCTCTCTCTTTCTCTCTCTCTCTCTCTCTCTCTCTCTCTCTCTCTCTCTCTCCCTCCCTCCCTCCTAATCTGTCTAAAGATAGACAGAAAAATGTCCTCAGGTGAGGATAAAAAAATAATAATAATTAGAATACAACAGGGTGTAATATTAAGCTTGAGTTTCGACAGTATCTTCAGAAGTACTCGCAACTTGACCCAAGGTTGCTGGATCAATCCCTGATCAGGGCATATATAAGAATCAACCAATGAATCCATAAATAAGTGGAACAACAAATTGATGTTTTTCTCTCGTTCTTTTTCTCCCTTCCTCTCTCTCTCCCTCTCTAAAAATCAATGAACAAAAATAAAAAACCAAAGTAAAGAAATACTTACAACTCACTTTCCAGTTAGTTCTCAGACTCAAATCTGAACAAATTCTCCCAAGTCTGAAGAGAGAAACACACTAAGAGGAGAGTATTATTCCATGCATGAGAAGTCATATGGCTAATAAGCTGATTAAGTCACAAGGAAGAGACAAGAGCCTATTCTTTTGGAATCCAAAGAGAAGATACAATATTTTCAACAGGAAAGATTCTACTGGCTGGACACTATGTAATAAGGTCTTAGAAAACACTGACGACAGGATTGCCAGGCCTACATCATTTTACAAAAGATTTAGGTACCAAGTTTTTCAAACTCAAGTAAGTAGCTTGCTAGAACTCTAGAGCACTTAGTCTACTGACATTACACTACAAAATATGTGTTAAAAGTCACAACCATAAACGAAGTATTTTATGGCTTTAAGGTAGAACTAACGTTACCAAAGGAGGGTTTCAAATGACATCACTATAAAGGAAAGTAGGCAGCCCGGCCGGTGTGGCTCAGTGGTTGATCATCGACCTATGTACCAAGAGCTCGCCAGTTTGATTCCCAGTCAGGGCACATGCCCAGGCTGTGGGCCAAATCCCCAGTGGGTCAATCGATGTTCTCTCTCATCGATGTTTCTATCTCTGCTCCTTTCCCTTCCTCTCTCTCTCTAAAATGAATAAAGGAAAAAATATTTTAAAATGCCCAGTTTGGCTTAGCAGTTGAAGCGTCAGCCTATGGACCAGAGAGTCCTGGGTTCGGTTCCCACGAGGGGCACATACCAAAAAAAACCCAAAATATTTTTTTAAAAAAATGTAGGCAGAGAGATGGAGAGAGGCAGATGCCAAGTGGCAAAAGATAAATCACAAGCTTCAGGGTCATCTGAAAGCACTACAACCACAGAATGAATAGTGTCCTGGAGTCTGACTGCCTGGGCTTGAATCTCTGCTCCATAACTTATTGGCTGTGTGACCTTAGACAAAGGACGTAACCTCTCTGTTCTGACTTCCCAATCTGTAAAGGCCACAATAATGGTACTTCATAAATTGAGAATTAAAGATAATCTGTGCAAAGGTCTTGCCAAGCTGCCCAGCATACTATAAGTGCTCAAATGTTTGCTATTATTATTCTCCATTTTCCCACTTTTAGGAACCATTATGCAGAAAAAGGGCCCGAGGCGCGGTTTTAATTCAAACACACAGCCAACCACCATCTTTTCCCCAGATGGTTTGATGACTTCTTTCACGATTTACCATAAAATGTTTATGATAAAAAGTTCTCTGCCTCCCAGAGCCAGAAGCTTGTCACTTGTATACAACAAGTGTTTGAGGCGAGCGCAATGCATGTGACCTGACGCACGGCCTTATTCAGCTGCCGTCAGGGAACCTCCCACAATAAAAGAGTCAGGGCCTGTTCAATTGAAGAGACATATGGGAAAGTGGCTCAGACCTGGACGAATTCACCAATGGCCGTGCGGATGGTGGCTACTGGGTCGAGTCCCCCTACAAGGCAGCCGGGGATCGGGTCCGACACCAACCGGCAAGAGCGTCGTCCCGCCTCAGCACAGGGCTCCCAGTGCCCTGCCGCTACACAAATCAGGAAACATTCCCGGGTCTCCAGTCTTGACGCCACCGGTAAATAAGGCGTCCGTGACCGCCGGCCCAGAATCGGCAACCCAGCTAGAGGTCACAGCCGGCGACCTATGACCTCTCGCAGGCCAGGCCTGCTCCTGGGGCCTAAGCGACGCGGCATTTCCCCGCCTAGCCCCGGCTGGACCCTGAGCCTGCCCAAGAAAGAGATGACGCGAGTCCTTGGCGACTTGGGGCTAAAGAGGGGGATGGGTACAGACAGCCGGCTGGGCTGGGCCCGATGCTTACCTCGGCCGCTCCGCTGGGGGCTCCGAGCCGGGCGTGTCAGGAGGGCTCCCGCCGAGAAGGAGACGCAAGGGAGGTCAGGGACAGAGAAGTCCAAGTTCCAATTGCAGCAGACTCTTCGGCAATCCCCAAGACCAGCACCAATGCAGCCACCGCCTAGGGCTTTAAGGCCAAGACTCCGACTCCTCTCTCACTTCCGCCACCGCCGCAGCCCCGAGCGGAAGTATCTGTCACGAGGAGCTCGACGTCGCGGGTGCGGGGAAGGAGCCCCGCCCCAACCAGTGTCGTGTTTTGGCAGCCTCAGGCCTGGTCCTGGATCACGTGGGACAAATATGTCTGCTCCCAATAGTTATCGCCATCTTTGATGCTCCTGCAAGGGGAAGGACGGCGCCATGTTAAACCCAGAACCCGATGTTTCAGCCATCCTCTAGTTACCCGAGAATAATGAATGGCGGGGGGAGGAGGGGTAGATTGGGGAATGGAAATGAGGATAAATTGGACCTTACATTAGTGCCGCTCTCCCCGCTTTGATCACTGAACCGAGGACAAGCTGGACCTTATATCAGTGTCCCTCACCCTGATCAGTCAACCAAGCAGTTCTGTGTGCCCAGAACTATTCAGGATCAACAGTTTGCTCTTGAAAGGGCTTTCCCAGGGAGAAATTTCTGAGTACTGGGAAACAAAACAGTGGTTATTTCACAAACTTACAACTGGGTGAGGAAGGGCAATGCCTATTTACACTTCTGAGCACCTACTGTATACCCCCACTACACCTTTGGATATTCTCCACTTGTCCTTACTTTAACCACTTAAGCAAAGATTATTTTCACTCTCTTGCAAATAGGGAACTGAAACCCAACACAGGTCACATGACCTAACTCACACCAAAAGTGGTAGTGAAGCGATTTGAACCAAGTATGTCTGATGCCAATGTGTGTGGTGTTAAAAGGAACAGGAGATAATGAAGAACTGATCATAGTGGGGTGCTAGCCATAGTTATAAGAAATGTTGAAGACCTTGCTCTGTTAGTCGTGTTTGCTTTGTTCTGATTAAAGAAAGCTCATTCTGACATGGCTGGGAGCTGTACACCCTGGGAGTTTACCTTGGGACTGCTGTCCATTCCCTTTACCGGAGAGCTGCCCCCATCTCACGGAAAGACTAACAACCTCGAAGTCTTGGAGGTGGAGAGCTGGAGACAGTACACATTCCTCGGCTCCCATTACTTTCCCATGCCTGTATTCTGTAACTGTTTTACCCATTGTTACACCTTTTGCTTACTTCCCCAACCATTTTATCAATTGATATTCCTTTTGCCTACTTCCCCATGTAATACTCTATATAAGCCAATGGCTATCAAGGTAGTGCAGACCAGATTTTTGCAGGATGACCTGGCGGCTCTTCCATATTGTCAATAGTATTGGAGTAGACGCTCATATACAATTCAACTTTGTCTCTGCTTAATTGGCTCAAGTAGTGACAGGCAGCCTGGACTCATTTTTTGTCTGGTTTCAATGTTTCTAGTAAACTGCAAATGATTGCACTAATGATAACAGGGTGATAGAGACACAAAGGTGAATTAGACATTAACAGAACAGTTTGTCTGGCATAAGAGTGAAGATTTATGCCTTGGCCGGTTTGGCTCAGCGGTTGGAGTGTCGGCCTGCGGTACAGAGAGACCCGGGTTCAGTTCCCGCTAAGGGCATGTACCTCGGTTGCAGTTTGTCCC